GCGCGTATCCACGAACACGAACAGAGCACATGAGGCTTAGGACCTCCATGTTTCAGCCCCTACATGCCATCAAGCACTCAGTTGTGCGGTGGCTGCGCTTGAGGCTGCAAATCCGGCCACGGCGGCTTCAGACTTGCCGGTAGAGCAGTTCGCCTACTCTCGATGTCGGGGGCGAGTCGAGTAACCCACATTCACTGGGGTCTCTACGGCCCCGAAAGATAGGCTACTACGCCATTGCATCAGCGAGATGCGTTTGGCGCGCAAATGTGACGAGTCTAGTTAAGTCTGGTCTAGACCCTACCCTGGTACCTTCACAGACAGGCCATCGATTCTCAGCGTAGCAACGTCGTGATCCGTAAAAAAATTGAAGGATGGCCTTCACTCCTTTGGTCACCCCCTGTCCACTACTTCAGGGCGTACCTCATTTCGCTGAAGCTCTGAAGCACGGTTGTGCGCTAACGATCTATTCGTTGATACAGCCGTGTACTGCATTGACTCTCGGTCTACTACTGCTTGTGTTACGTATTCTCCTTGAGGCAGTAAGTGTACGATGTGGCAGGAGAATGAACTCATCTCACACGGCTACAGTCCTCTTTCGGGGTGGCTGCCCTGGCGCGCGATAAGGACGACGTCAAGATATCCCTTGCGTCTGGATGTCTTCAAAATCGTGCCATTCAAGCCTCCAATCAAGCCCGCAAGCGACGGGGCTCTGCGTTCGACGGGGGCGTTCATTGCCCACGAAAACTGAGGACAGAGCACGTCCGTCGCGACTGGTACGTGTTTAATTAGGCCCTCTCTACAGCCCAGGAAGTCATGCAACTATACTGTGTGTAGATTGGCACCAATTTCATCAACAGGCGATGTGCTGCGTCCAATTCATGTGGATGATCAATAGATACCTCCAATAGATGCATAAAACCAAGCTCATGTCAGCAGTCTTCGTTTCGTCCTCGTGTTCACTACTGGACCGTGTAGATACACTTACATGTCCTAGGACAGAAGGATGCTATGAGACCATGGCGGTCAGAACGTTTGAAAATGCGACCATCAATAAGCATCCTCTATATTTCCTCACAACATTCGCGCAACTGATTTTTTCTATGTTTACGCGCGTTTATTCCACCAGCAGCCGACCCATAATACATAATAGGGTCGTGAACTGACGATAGGTATTAAAATGTTAAGTAATGGTGGTATCGAATAATACCCCTGGCGAAGAAGCAAGCCGCGCAAAATGCCAGACGGCCAGGTCAAGACTTGAACCCGCGACGTCGTGTAGCAAGAACGCGAAGTATGTCCGACTTCGGCTGTTCAGCCACAGCGCTGTTGAGAGACCTGACTTGTAGCTAGATATATAGCAATATCAGACGTCGCGTGAGAAGTAGAGCACCGTAAATATATATCCCCCGAGCCATTAAGTATCCGCCGCGTTGTTGAGTATTCCCCGCGCCATTGAGTAGATGCATCATCCTCCACTCATATTGCACCGCTTGTCACATCCAACCCAGCGAAAGTCCGAACGCCACAAACTCGCTACAGCCGCTGATCCCAACGCCGGTAGAGCTCCGGCCTTAGATGCCTCGCCTCGAAGAATGCCTCATGCTGCGATGTGCGCAGCGCTCCGAACTCTATCTCCTAGTGTTTCCTCGCCTCAGTCAAATGCCAGCAACTGATCTACAGCATGCGTACCTCATCAAGACAAGAGGAGTCGTACGCGTCGTGCGTGTACATGCGCTTCATGTTTATTGGCATGCGAGGAACGACGATCGTCACCTCGTCTGAAGGTGAGTAGACTGCAGCACCGTATCTGAATTGTACTGACCACTGTACCTGCTGCAGCCAAAGACCTTTCGCGTTGGTAGAGGATGATGGAAGGCCTTGAGCGGCGTCATTTGCACGCTCGGCGCGAGCCCCTCTCGGCGACCTCGGCTTTCATCGGCACCTGTCGGCGTCGACCGCGAGCTACCCCGCTCCAACGTTCTTCTTTCTGATATAATATTTCATCACATTCGGTAGTTTAGAGCGCCTTGGTAGTTTAGAGTGCCGTTCACATTGACCGGTACTCAGAAGTGCGCTAAATGAGCTAGGTAGCGCTGTTTATCAGTAGTCTTCTATCTCTCTCAATATGCTGATGTGTCATCCTTCCTAAAATTGCAGTATGAAGGCAAGTGTGTGGCCCCCCTATGCCTGCCAAGACCCAGGTTCAAATTCCTCATGATTATGCTCAGCGCCGCTTGAAGTGCGCGTTGACGGATGTTTGGGGCGTCGCGCGTACATAGGACTTCCGACGGCCGCTTTGACGCGACGTTATCTGCACAACCCGACCAGCGCAACCGAAAGTGACAGCTGCTAGTCTCCCACTCGCTTCCCGCTGTCGAGGTACTCACTCATACCCTCATCCGTCCAGTCCAAGTACCCGTCACCGCGACGGCGAAGTCCGGCGCCGAGACACGCAGCGGAGGACGCTCGGAGACTGCCGGCCGCGCGTAAGCGCGATGCCACCGTTTAGACTCGATCTCCCACCTGAGTTCGAGAGCGCAGCCGACTGGCGAGCGTGTGGCGCTACTTATTTGCCTCGTTGCTTCTGGCTTGATGTTTTACTTGAGACTTCCTCTCGCGTCTCTTTCTGACGGCGCCACTCCCATCGGCTATCCCTTCCAGCGCGGGGTCTACCCAGTGATCGGTGTGCGTTTGCGACCTCGCCGCGAGAGTGCGTACTGACACATTATCTTATTATAAGAGGGCCATGCTCGCACGCACGGGTATAGGGGCATATGTTGTGAGTATGTATCTCAGAGTCGCGGAGCGGCGCTAACCTTCTTACACGTTGCAGTCATACGACCGCGCACTGATGGCGGTCAAGTTCGTTCGGGCGCGACGATCTCGGCGGCGGCGCATAGGTTCACAAGTATATAAGGCTGCAGGCCGCCGACCCTCGTAGCGTCCCACCGCCACGAACAATATCTTTTCCCGCGCGCTGTGTATCATGGTCAAGGTATAACACGATATCACCTTATGGTGATTCAATTCTAATCACCATTTAGGATCTTCAGCTTGCAATCGCGCGTGCCGAGATGGAACTCGCGGAGAAGCGACTCGCGCTTCTGTTGGCCCAGGTACGTCGAGCTATGATGTGGACGTCGTCCGTGCCGAAAAAAGTTAACGTTGATGGTAATAGGGCTCGCCAGCGGAAAATGGGCCTCAAGTCAACGGTGCGTCGGCGTCGGGTTATGTGGAGGTGAGTAACCTTAGCTCGTGCGACCGTCGGGCCTGTTCGCTGAAGGCAATGATCGATTCCACAGGTTGAACTCGGCAACATCGAGGAGAACGTACAAGGCAGGGAGCCTGACGATTCTACGGCGTATGAAAGCCAGGATACCGCGCACGCTTCGGAAGTTCCGCAAAGTACGCGGGACCCCAGCGTGGCTAACGAGGTGAGGCGCTGAATGTGTTCCAAATGGTTCGATTGCAAACTAACCATCGTTTTATTGAGGATGCAAACTCCCCGCCGCCTGGGACTATCCCCAACGGACCGACGCAGGCGCTCGACAACGCTGCAGGTTGTGTGAACACGGACGAAAACTACGACGATGCGAGCAGCGCAGCGGCGCCGGATGAAACCGACGAGGTGGAAGACTTGGTGCGGGACGCCGACACCGACATGAGTTCGGTCACGGTGAAAATCGAAACAGACACAACGGACACGAGCTCGGCGCCGACAAACGGGTACGACGAAGACATCATGCCCATTGGCCGGTTCATCGACCGCGTACTGCGTTGGGCCGGCGTCGTATGGTCTGACGCTGAGGCTAGGGCGGGTGTGGACTTCGAGGCAGCGGCGGCCTTGGCGACCGAGATGATGGGCTTCGAGATCGTTAGCGTCTGCGGCGATCAGGTAAGATTATCCTTACCTGTGGTATGTGACAGCGCTGACAACGAGCGGCACAGGTCGCGCTCCGCGCGCCTCTCGACATCAGGTCCGCCAAGCAATGGGCTTCGAGGCAACGGATGGTGTCGAAGATCTACGCAAAGGTCGCAGAGCCGAATTACACACAGCTCGTCGCCCAGACCTGGCGACACATCCGTGAGCTGCCCTACGAGGACGTCAAGAAGATGAACGGTCGGTACGGGCTCATTGGCGTCGTACGCGCAATCTACCAGGCCAACGCCATCGATCCGAACAAGTGTGAGGACTTCCGCGTCGTCATGCGCGACGCAGCAGACGCCTTGCGGGCTATGCGCACGGCCATTAAGTCTGCGCGCGACGCTCAGCTGGCGCCGACCGCAGCGCCGACCGCAGCGGCGTCGAGCACGCTGCTCCAAGTGCTGACTCAGCGCGACGCCGAGCAGGCGGCACAGGCTACGGAGGCCCTTGACCGCATGAGCAACGGGGATGTCATCGAGATCGAGAGCGATGATGAAGAACCAGTGCACGGTTCTAAGAAGGGTGGTAGCGGTAGTGGAGTCGGCAAGGCGAGGAAGGTTCTTGCGAAGCGCAAGTCGACAAGCACACCGGGACCTTCGCCGAAGCCGAAGAGGCACAGGTTGTAAGGTATCATATCGAGTTCGAACGTTCAAGTACGAGAGACTCCCCAGAATTGTTGCTGCGCCGAATCCTTGTAATACATCTTGTACATCTTGTAGTGAAATCCTACGATCCATGATCTGCAGTCCCGACTTGCTACCCAGTTTGCTACCCAGTTATGTTTCTCAGTATTAGGGTGATCGTACAAGCCTCTCTCACGCGCCGGATTTCTAAACCTGCAAATCCTGTCCTCCCGTTCCGTTGGCCATCCAGTCAGCGCATATCCAACGGCACCCGCTCTGTGTTAGACCGGGCGAGGACGAGGGGCGGAGGAAGCAAAGCGTTGCTGACGCGGCGGCTAAGAGCCGCGTGCTTGATTGACGCGCACACGTGTGTTGCCGCGTGTATCGCAACTCGCGTCGTGCTCGAGAGCGGCCCGTCACAGTACTGTAGATCTCGAGCACTGCTTGCATAAACCTCGCCGTATCGGCAGCCACGTCGGCAGATGAGGTTAGTATTTTGTACATGATGGTTGTCTTCCTCGGTCGCAGGTGGCGTAAACACTAGAAAGCGTATTTCCAGCTGTGCGAGATTAATCTCGTGCACTTCGCCTATAGGTCGGCGGGTCGTTCACAGACGAGGAGCGCGAGTTCGGACGACTCCACTACCTGTAAGCACATGTAGCGTGATCTTTGGTGGCGATGGATTACCCCAAGGTCTGTATTATTGCGCCTGTGAGTGTGGCGGAACTTTTCGAGTGCGAAGGGGTGTTCACTGGCCAAGATGCGGATGAAGGCCTTGGGGCCTTCCTTCTCGCGTAGTGGCGGGATTGTAGCAGTGTCTTATTCGGCGGGCCGTGCCTCTGTGACTCGGACCTGTCGAACATGAGGTAGAGCTTGAGGAAGTCCGGATATTGTCAAGGAATTCGGCGGGCATAGCCTTACCGACTTCGCTGGTTAGCTTATCCACTGTGCCCGACCGCTACCGATGGCAGGGTGACAGCGCGCGACAGTGCCCCGAGTGCGTTGCTTGGCTCACTGAGCAACCTTTCGTAGATTACCAGAAGCTCTTCTTGGACGTCGTGGCCCGACGGGATTTGGGGGGGGGGCTGTTCGAAGGTGTAGTAGAGAGAACCCACAGCCATAGCGATGCGTCGATACCGCAGCGGCACAAGGTTAAGCTCCGTAGGTCAGTGATGCTCAAAGGCGCAGCGAGCGCTGGTATCACAGCGGCATAGGGTGAGCCTGGTGATACAGAAGTATCCCAAGCGGAGGGCAATGTGCCTAGATTTGGACCGGGAGCATATGGAGACACGTTCTACACAGGACACTGCATTCCACAAGCAGAGTGGGATGCGATCATCAGGACGAGGTAATTTCAGTAGCGAGCAGCGCTCCTAATCAGCTGCTCTACAAGCTGTCGGCTGGTACGTGGGGATGGGGTCGGTGAAAGCATCTTGGGCGTGGGGCGTGCGCCGCGTCACAAGATCGCAAGTGTCCGAGCACGAGCCTCGCCGATCCCGTTCGTATCGCGTCTTACGATCCGAATGTGGGGTGACAAAAGGGAGGGTGCATGAGTGCACTATATATAGAGATGCCAGGACCAGGCGGCGGGTAGGAAGATGCATCAATCGCGACAGCCTGACCGCAAGGGCATATCATCGGGCCTAGGCGAGGTTGGAAATAGCATCAGCCGCGAGAGCCTAGCCGCTGGTGCGAGTGCATGCAGTGTATAAACGGTAGGGAAAAGAGGGAGGGAAGGGGGATCTGTATGTAGGTGTAGGGTCGCGCCGCGGCGGCCCCCCGCGCACCGCTGGTCCGTCCGAGCTGAAAATCTCGCATTTCGCCTCTCCCGACCTGCCTTCCCGTCATTTACCTCTCTGATTCGGCTGTACAGGTGCCAGCATCGAGGTGTGGAGAGAGAACGCCTGTCATGATCGGAGGGGGGGGCGTCTGAGCGGCGCTGTCAGCAGAACGGAACGAGTATTCCTGTGGCGAGCAACGCGTGGTATCACGCCAGCGGTCACACTGGCCAACGAAGGTCACGATCGAATAAAGCACAATGCCACGTGTATGGTCCGGACCTACTATTACTCGTCGTGAGTGGCACGAAGAGACGATTGAGGAGTTTACATACGGTGCCACGTGTCTGTGTGAACGCCAACGTGCTTCACAGGCCATTACCCGAGTTCATCTTGACAGCCATGGCCGAAATCACTGTGCGACAGACCAGCGCCTGTGCTACGTTCAATAGAACTCGCGCAAAGATATTTCCTGAAGAGCTAGGAGAATGCGCACGCTGTTCACAAGGACGTCCGAAGGAATGCCTATTTTATAGTAAGACTGAAGACTTGGAAGGGACCTGCAATTCACCTTTCTGACTACTTCACGCTCTAGGGACGGATAAGAAAGGGAATGTCATTGAACAACGCACCTTCCAAGTAACTTCCGGGCCGCAACCTCGGCTGCTGGACATCTGTCCGCAGGGTTTCAAGCAGGACGTCAAAATCAAATTCAGATCAGCCCCTCCAAATAGGACCATAGAGATGATCTTAGACTTGATGGCGAGGCGATCGACGATAGAGATCCTGTGATGAGAGTCTGACCTACTTATCCAGAGAAACTGTGGTCCTATGATCAATCGGTATCTGCGAGAACATCGTCGTGCACGAGAAGACTGCCCAGCATCGATTCCCTGGACACCGCGGCTGGATGGCACTCGTTCCACTTGTGGTATATGGCAAGAATGATAGCTCATCGGATGGCTTACTGACCAATGATGCTCGAATCCGGTAGATGCATGCAAATGCTCGCTGTTCTGTGGAGTACGTATGTGCAAGTATTGCGGTAGGGAGTTCTGTCCAGACTGTGTGCGCGAGCAGCGGGTCCGTCTGTCTACCGGTTGCCATACAGGTCGCATTACTGATGGCGCATGTAGCATCTTGCGCTTCCATGTGCGAAGAAGCGTTGCGATACTGAACATGTCATGGTGTTACTCGAAGTTTTCCAAGCTGGAGAGCTAGAACAGGCTCTGGAGGATGTAGAACAGTTCCCGTCACGGTGGGCTCTGTAACTGCACTAGCGTCGCTTCTCAAGTCTGACATCTCATCAGCGAATTCGTTCCTGGCCCTCTCTCTTCTGACAGAGAGGTTATCAGGGTGAATCTCCAGGATGGTGCTGAACCACCTACCTATTCAGTGGTGTATCGCGCTCTCGCGGAAGGTATTCCAATGATAGTCTCCGGCATTCGACCTGGCGACCGTAATCTGACGCCCGAGTATTTCATTAACAAGCACGGCGACACAATGGTTACACTCACGAACACGAAGACGGGCTCACAGCGCAAAGTCGCTTTGCGAACCTTCATGGATAGCTTCGGAAAACCCGTGAATCCGGAGAGTCCAGAGAAGCTTCAAGTGAGTTCATTGCCAGCCATCGTCGTGTCGCCAAGGTTCATAGCATCATCAAGGATTGGCCGCCAACAGCCGACTTCGCGGTGAAATTTCCCGAAATATTCGACCTCTTCGAGGACTGTCTTATCGCTCCTTGGATTACATCGAGAAGGGGGCCTCTCAACTTGGAAACCAATATGCCGATGGGCTCATGCCCGCCAGACACGGGTATGTTTTGCTTACTGACCATAATACGTCGCCTTGATGCTGAATCGTCATAGGCCCTAAGGCTTATCTCGCGCACGGGGCGGCCGGAGGAACCACTACTCGACTACACGGCGATATGGCCGATGCAATCAACATCATGTTTCATGAAGAAGACGGGCCGGAAGACGGGTCGGAAGGTGGCGCGCTGTGGATAATGATCGACCGCAACGACATGGCCCGAGCTGCAGAGCGACTAAGGAAGACGAAACGTGGCTTATTCGGCGATGGGCACCCTATCCACTCGCAGCAACTCAACCTCACGGAGGAAGACGTTCAGGATCTGAGATCAGCCGGAGTGCGCGTGTGGACCTTGATCCAGAGGCAAGGGGATGCAGTCTTTATACCAGTCGGCGTTGGTCACCAGGTAACAGCTCCATATTCTCAAATGCTGACACGCTGACAAGTGAGCAGGTTACCAATAACACACCATGCGTCAAGATCGCCGTCGACTTTGTCGCGGCGCCCAACCTTGAGCACTCACAACGAATCAGCGAAGAACTGCGCGAACACCGCCTGGCTTCTGGAGATACGGCGGCTGAAGACGTACTCCAACTTTCATCTATGTGCTGGTGGATGTACAAGCGATGGAAGGTCGAGGGCCTTGCAGATACACGATCGGACCCTAATTCAGATCCCTGGATCTCAAACTACTCAGCCGCTCCTGTCTACATGCCAATTTCTCTCGCTGCCATCAAATCCGGTCGATTACCCCGCGATGTAAACTCCCAAGATAGCACCATCTCTAAGGCGGATGTCTCTGTCGAGCATTCAGCAGGAGCGCTGTCTAACACATCTTACAGGGATAATCGAAGACCTTACGATGCACAAGACTCTCCGGTCGTCGACCACGTACAGAGCCCTGGGTCGTCCTCATCAGCAGCAGTTCCCTCTAAAAGGAAGACGGCGGATGAAGCGCTGACGAGAACGCAGAAGCGACGCCTGAAGAAAGAGAGATCGGTGCGCAACAAATCGTTGGGGGACCCAGATAAGACGTTGGAGTGTCCTGTCGGTGGTTGCAAGCGTGCATTGGACCATTTCGATCGGCGGACTCTGCTCAGTCACTTGTGCGTGTGATAACTCGCCCCAGTCGTGGATACAGCTCATGCCCGTCATCGAACAGGGAACGTGCGCACACCGCTCGTGTCCTCTTTCTGCACCGTGGTCAATCGAACATCGAGATCGCTAAAGAGCGGAGCAAGGTTCTTAGTATCCACCCCTTGGATGATGTCGCATTTAGACAGTATATGCGGGATGAGGTGCTCAGCGGACTAAAAGGGTAGCGTGACATTGACAAGTCCATATGATAGAGTAGTAGCCGCGCACGCTGCGAGGTTCTTGGAGCTTCATTCGGCTGACCCCCTCGATTTTCGCACCAACCTGCCGTTTATGCATGCGTCACGTACTTTCGAAGGCGCAAAATCGATGCTGACGAGCGTACTTAATGCCACTCGGAATACAGCAAACACTCTACACTCAGCAGCCAGCAGGCACGTAACGGTACAGCCAACGGGATGCCTGCCCGATCAGCTCCGGGTCACAGCGGAGCCGTTGCGTTGCTTCCCGTCTTCGAACCCCGAATTAGTTAAGACATACTGACTAGGCGATGACGAGGTAGAGTTCGCAAATGGTGTATCATTCGAGCTACTATCCGGAGCAGGTTCCCAGGCACACATATGGTAAAATCACATAACAATGTACACGATCCGCGGGCTGTCTGGCTTGTCCGATGCAACCCAGCACCACCGAGAGTAGCAATCATCCACCCATGCTGAGTACAACTATCGAGAGCGGAACGACCTTGAGCGGCCAGACCGCGGCATCCTCAAGAGTCGACCCTTGGAAGGATGGGTATGGTCGATCTTTCGAGTCCAGCGAGGCGTCTCAGAGATGGGCCAGATGTTGAACTCGTCCCAAGGAGCGCAGTACCTAAGGAGGTGTGAGGACAAGCGTACGAGGAAAGAAAAGTCACAACGAATAGGCTCACCCAAATCCGCATGCTTGCATATCCCAGTACCACTTGAAGCTCGGCTTCCCATCGAGATGCCGGAACAACACCTCCGTAACCTTGCCCTCGACGGCCTCCCTTTTCCGTGAAGAACTCCACACCTTCTCCTCCATAGAATAGTTTGTGTATAGGGACAAGACATAGGCGTCTTGAGAGTCTGGTACAAAGCAATCCCTGAACTCGAAACGTGTGGCCAACTTGCGAATCTCGGGTTGCTGATAGAAATAACAAAGCAATTTCTCGCGAGCTTCGCGTTCGTAGCTATAGCTTTGAGTGGCGTCGTACGAGGACCTTTTGCTACGCCCTGTCAGCCCAGTGAGATCAAAAACCGCAGGAGCGATTCCGAGTTGTGTGACGCAGCGCAAGAGCTCGTGTTTGGACAACGCGACTCCGTAGTGCATCAAAGGCGGTTCAAATTCGGCGTTTCTAGGCGATGACAAGATAAAGCGCATGTCGAGAGGATATTGTGGTTGACGCAAAGCGCAGAGCTCAGCCATGATCTATGGAGGACGTATCATATTAGTGTACATGAGCGCCATCCAACCTAGTTCGGGAGGACGTACGTCTGCGCGCTTGGCGCGTTGGGGACCCAGTTCAACAACGGTCTGCTTGGTCCCGTGAGGAGGAGTCTGCATCCCATCCGACATGACGAAGTTGAGGCTCCCGTCTGTTTAGACGATGAGGATAGCTGAAGCACGGATGTCAACCTCGCAGTAGGGCAGGGCTGGGGAGCCTCACGGTGACACGCTAGAAGAGCTTACATATACGAGGTCGCTGGGGATTGCCGTGTGCCAGGCACCACGCCGTCATGCTCGCGAACCGCCGCTCTTCTCTCCTACCTTGACCGTATTCACTTCTACTTCCTTAGAATGGGCACCGTCGTGCCGAGGCGACCGTGAGACGTCTACTCCGCCTAAACCTCATGTTCCTTATCTTCAACTGCGGCCGATTGCGGCGCTCATGTAAGGTTGTTCCAGCCGGGCGAGCGCTGGCTAGATGTGGCCTTATGCAACCTTGCTGGAAACTCGCCTTACCATGTACATGTACATCGTGCCGAGGAAGCATTGGGATCGAATAACATTCTCCGCTGTCGCGGCATGATCGATCATCGAACGGTCGTGGTCACGGCGCATTTGCGTCTTCCAGAGCTCAATGTAGTCGCCCATCGTGAGACGAGTCGAAGAGCCTGGTATAAAGATCTTTCGTGACACCTGAGGCTGATAACCCAGCCACACTTCGTTCAGATCCCGCCAGCGCTCAGTGACTCAACTCACCGCCAGAATCTATCACCTGGGCCCCTCGTAGTCAACAGCACTTTCGTTACTCCACGTGCTCGCTTCATTATGAATCTTCCGGACGCACCCTTCCCGTTGCGACTTGCAGAGTTTGCTGCAACCGCCCACATATGTGATGGCAAGGCTGCGCCTGAATGGAAGTCCCACGGTCTTGTCGACTGTAGCTTCTGGAGGCATGCTCGCGAGGCGGAGGCGGCCGGGGTATTTGGTTTAGAAACCAGTCTCGGAATCTGGCCGCAACCACGTCTTCAGCCGGACACTTCGAATTATCGAATTTCTGACTTCGCGGAGATTGCGATAGATAGAGCCACTGGCAAGATGTTGTTCATTGTGTTTTTGGTGGAGATTAAACGTCCCCTGTTTTTCGTGGACAATCTTGAAGGGCTTCGCGACGTGATGCGCGATAGTGCTCTGAAGAAAGAGCGTGAAAATTATGATACACTCTTTGTGGACAAGCTGCGGTGGCAGGCATCGAAACAGGCCGAGCACGGCTTTATGGAGTATCCGAATCAGAACGTCCTCCCTGTGCTTTGCTCCTCTGGCCTCATCGGCTCCGTCATCATTTTCGTCCGGAAGGGCTCAGCGTTTGAAGAGACAGTTGCTAGGCTGGATGCCCTTGACGATGTCTGGACGTGGCGTCGTCCAACGGAGTATTCTGTCCAAAACAAGCGCACTACCAATATCAACAACACGATGGCTAGCCTTCAACAGGAAACCGATTGGACGAGCCTTCCGCTCGATGAGCGCGACGCACGTACGAGCACCTTCAAAGCGAAGTTGGATCCGTGTAGTATGCAGGGCTACGTTCTCCTGCACGGCTTTGACCTCTATCAATTCACCGATGGCGAGACAGGGCTCGTGCCCTCTGCCCTGATGAGGTTTGCACTCGACATAATGTGTCGTGTCCACCCTCAATATTCCGACCATCCCATCGATGAAGGGGGCTATTTTTGTGGCACCGGTATAACTACGACTCTGGGCGATGACGAGGCCGTAAGTCGAGATACGCATATATTCAATGATGCACGTCAGGATGTTTGTGCTGATCTTTGTTTAGGATGCCCTCCTACGGGTTTCCATACCATATACACCGTACACATTGGAGATACAGCAGAAAGCATTACTCAGACCGTTTCGCAGGTCCAGGACGATTGTGTCAGCCAGGCCTCGACAAGGGCGGTTATCTGAGATTACTGCTCCGGGGTCTTCGAAACAAAACTCCCACGCGAAGGTTAAGAAGGGCAGGGCGAATCTGAAACGGAAGGTCGGGGTGCGGAATGTCGGTCCGTCTAGAGGCGCGAACAAGACAGTGAAGGTTGTAGGCAAACAGCGGGAAGTAGGATTGAAGGGAGAGGAAGACGAGGAGGAAGACACGGAGGAAGACACGGAGGAAGACACGGAGGAAGACACGGAGGAAGAGTAGTACACGACGAAGATTGCTAACGAAGAGGTAATCGATACCCCTGTCTAAGGACATGCCGCACATATCAAGCTGACTACCTCAGGCCTCAGGCGTTACCGTCCACATGAGAGAACAAATGTATATGTACAGTTGTAGCGCAGTTTTTCGCATGCCGAGCGTCGAGCTTCCGCCACGATTTCTATGGCATATAAACTTCGCTGATCAGCCTTGTCCACTCCGGCCGCCGAAGCGGCGCAACCGTCGGAAGGGTAATGGCGCGCGGTAGTGTCCCGATTGTGTTGATCAACATCCGCAGCTACTATGGCGGTCCGAACGCGTCAAAAATCGAATAGATTTAGGAAGCGGTTTTGATTTACCATTTACGTGAAGTCGCGGCGAGCCCGCCTTCCCCGAGCCTCCCGCGCTTCCTCACGCCTGTCCCGCCCACCCCTATGGCCCTATCGCATACTGTACGTGATGGTCTGTCGAATGAAGCCCGTCAAGGTGCAGAAGGGAGGGGGAGGAGGGACAAGGAGCGGCGTCTGCGCGGCGGCCTGCGCCGCGTGTTCGGCTGACGCGGCCACGTGTTTTGCCGCGTGTGTCGCAAAGCGCGTCGCGCCCGCTCGTCCTCCCGTTCGTGCTTCCGAGTCTCTGCCTATCCAAAGGCCACTAGTAGCACCCGTAGCTATGCAGAATCCAGATCTGATGTATCTAGCTATTGAGACGTGACTACAAATTTCTGGTAAACCCACTCAGAAGCCCCTAAGCCCACACATATATGGCTTGCAATTCTCACTGGATCATTTCCATAAGCGTGTACAAAGCTTATCGATGTCATGTCATACTTCTACGCGAGTATCCAGTACGAGATACTAGCGTGCCAACGAGGAGGACGAGCGGGCGCGACGCGCTTTGCGACACACGCGGCAAAACACGTGGCCGCGTCAGCCGAACACACGGCGCTGGCCACCATTCTCAGGCTGCTCAGTACTAAGTACTCTGACTGGCATCCTTCTGAAATCATCGTACATATCGAACGATCAGATATATCTAAGTACAACCGTCTGCAACACAATCACGGTCCGGCCACCATCCCCACATAAGCTTCTAGATCAGCTCGATACACCGATCCTCGCATGTACGTTGTTCATGTCCCCTGCAAGTACAGCCCATCACGGGAAAGAATGGTCTGTCACATTCACCTTCCTGGCGCGCAGTTTCATCCGAGTCGGGCATCCACTTTTGGTAATACTTGAGTATAGCCTCGTGCGCGACTTCAAATGCCTTTGCGGCAGCGAGTCAGTCTTGCCATGCTAGAACCTTGTCGGATAGCGCTTGCGGGTCGCCTATCAATCGCGCGTCCCAATCGTTTGAGCCTCACATCCGTAGCGTCGCTGTTGTTGAATAAGCAGCCAGGTCAGCCTCGTCATATCGACTCACCAAGCATATTTGGAAACTTACCAGGTCTCCGAACACGCATAACTTTCAAAACCTCATACAACTCATCGCAACCAAAGCCTTCCTTTCCGGGATCCACGTCTCCAATTTCCAATAAGGTCTGAGAGCTGCCATAGAGATGGCCGAAGCTGGCCCGGCTGAAATCGATGATGTAGGGACGGCCGTCGTGCAGTGATCGAGCTGGCCGTGGATGACCTGCGCGGCGTGGAGATCAAATATGGCCCTCACGAGACCCATCCTACGATGAATATAAGATGGTGAGGCCCACACTGTGAAGACAGACGTACCGAAACTCATCATCCACCTTCACATCGAACGACCCCAGCGCCTCCCCACAATCCTCAAGCACAAGACATCCATACGCGTACATATTCTCCTCAACAAGCCCCGCATCAACCGCCCGACCCCGCATCAACCGCCCGATGTGCACCATAACACACCGGGACCTACACCCGGCACGGCCTCCAGTCGTTGACAGTAAAACCGGCCCTCGTTGACAAGACCCTCGAGCGCCTCCTACGTCAACGCCACCTTGACCACGACCTTGATCGTCTCAGACGCACGAAGCAGCGTACCGCGGTACACCCAAACATCTTTGGCCGGGACACCGTCCTTGAAGCGTGTGCCAGCTTCTAGAGTATACGCGGCCGTAGGAGCCCTAGAGCTCGCCGTATCCGCTACGAGCGCGTACTCTCACCCCGGGTCGCGGGGACCAAAGTGGACTTCGAGGTCAGCGACTGAATCGGTGTGGAGGATGTCGGCGGAGGTGAGGGAGGCATGGCGCGAGTGTCTGCAGGGTATGTATGACCGGTCTGATGCGATGGTGGGGCGTCTTGAGCAGGAAGAAGAACGAGGTGTGCATGTAAAGGTCGCCTGATCCCAAGGGGTGTATAGTGATGTGGACCTTGACGGTTGTGAGTGTTCAGGGTTCAATGTGACAACACTGCGTCTAACTTTGAGGCGCGTTGCGGATGGGACGAGGCTGCTAGCGGGACAGCCCATGACTGGGATTCGCGCTCGCGCAGAGCGCAAGATCTATGCATCATCTCAGTCCGAGCATGATAGGATTGAGAATGTGCGGACGAACCTTTGCCACCGGTTGTACTGAGTGTAATAGCACATCCCTGCTAGCCCGTAGATGGCGTATCGAAGACGCCGAGACCAAAACCTGTTCGCAAACAGTCAGCGACTTCCCAGCGCGCAAATAATAGCGGCACGCACACAGTAAGGGCCAGTCCTCTGTCCCACCGCTCAGCTCATCTCCCGCGCGGGTGCTGAGTGACACTATAACGTTGCCTCCCGGAGGACCAGCTTGATATCTCAGTTACGCTGTAGCATTGAACGTCGACCACGACGGACATAAAACAGAGACGGCCGGATGTGAAATGGCTTATTATCAATGTCCATGAACTTTCAGATGGTGGCCAAGAGCGAGTGTGGACGTACGCGCTCGTCCGTAAACGCCGCGTCTGCGCCACATTAGGGTTAGGGTCAGCCAAACCTACCGTCGCTTTACTTGTTTAGAGCGGAATCGAGTCGCGCGCAGTGCGCCGTGTTGCGGTCAAGATTATTCGCCGAGGAAATACGTATTCAACACCTGTGGGCACATGAATCGCACTACATCTAGAATACCTGCGACGCTCGTTAAGGTTCTCACGCCAGTGTTCGAGCGTATATTTGGTCCACAGATTCTCAGATATTGCGCCGAGCCAGCTCTATAACAATACACATACGACAAGGGGTCATGATGAGCGCGCTATGCGAGCGAAAAAAGGAGACCAGCCGCCTGGAGTTCACTTCAGCGGAGAACGCCAAGCAACCTCGTTCTCGTACTCCCGACAATACTTCTCCAACTTGATGTTGATGGGAATATCGTCTATCAACACGTTAGCATCGTTAAAGTGGACAGCAATAGATCAAACACCGCACCTTCATACTCTACGCCGCGTGCGGGAAGATACTTCCTACAATAGTCGCAGATAGCTTCGTGCGCCAGGGTGAGAGCCTGACGAGCGGCGTACTGAGGCGCCATCTCGTCATGAAGCGAGCCTCCATCCAGTAATTTGTCGGTCAACGCCCAGGGGTTGTCCACAAACACGCTGGCAGTCCAGAAATAGCCGTCGCAGCGCAAGTTCACTGTCGAATCGCTCAGGTATGAGTTCATAAGAAGTAAAGCGTAAACCGCGTACTCGGTAACCACATCCCAGTCTCTTGGTAAACCTCGTAGATGTCTCTACAGCCAGACTCCTCCGCAAGGGGATGCGTGCCCCCATCGTAGTCTCGATCATCCAGATTATCGGACTTTCGAGGGCAGTCGTGATCGAACGTGGCTTTGCTGAAGTCGACAATGTACGGCCAGCCGTCCTTCTGCAAGACATGCCTGTCCTCGATCTGTCTGTGAGCCACGCCCCGTTTGTGGAGCTCGTAGACGAGAACGACGAGCCGCGTGCTGTAGAGAACTTCAGCTACGCCGTACAACCCTCGGGAGAGGCACCGGAACGACGTACCAGAACAAGACCTCGTCCGCATACCCCGAGTCCAGCAAAGACCGCGCAGGAACGCCACAGTCCTCGATGATCATACAGCCAAAGGAAAGATCATCGGAGTCATGAGGTCTGTAGTTCACGACTTGATAAACGCCATAGGACCGCGGTACGCAGCCCGTCCCATTCGATAGATCAGAGAGCTTATCACGGTAAAGCCTGGCCTCGTCGACCATGTCTACCGAGAGTGCGCTCGGTGGTGGCCAGCTTCACGATAACCGGGACCTTCGGCTCTGGCGCCACACCGTCCGCGTCGATGATGAATCCGAGAACAACAGCGACCTTGTTCAGTTGTCCGCGCTCTCTCAGCGAAAAGCTTGCCGCGCTTGAAAGGCAGCCGCGCGACGGTCGTGCAGTCTACAAGCTCGAGAGTCAAGCCTTCGTGGAAAAAGACGTCTGCGATCTCTTCCCACTCCAGGAAGGCCTTGACGTTCGCGGTGAGGGACATCCGGCGCGGGTGCCACCCCGACCGTGACGGTCAAGATGAGGAGAGGATAGTAGCGTGGCTTTCGGGAGAGCTTTAGGCGGGCGTTCAAGTCAAGAGTCGTGCCAAGGTCGTGCCGGACGATGGGATGAACGCCACATATAAGCGTCGAGATGCGCGGAGTTCGAACTTCGTTGTTACGTAGTATTTGCGGGCTCAATGTGTACAGGATGTGCAACGGCTTTCACGCGTCTCTGTACATAACCCGATTCCTTGAGGTTGTCTCCTCCAATGAGCGGGAGCGACGACTATCCTCCCCCACGTTTGTCCTTGGCCCCGTGTTTGTGCGCCAGAAGGGACGAGGCCCTGCTCGTAGGTGTTGGATCCCGGAATATTTTCGAAGAGTAGCGTGGTGGCGGTGAAGGGAATGCGCGTGCAAGTGTGGAAGAGATGGCGCAAAGCGTGGTTGTGTGTATATGCCGGGGCTGAGATAGAGGTCGAGGCGGCCTCCTGCGTGGAGGATCTGTGGCTGTCGGTGAAAGGTAGTGGTCAGTCGTGAAATTGGACGGATGGACGGAACGCGGTGGAGATTGGGGTGTGAGGCGTGGTGGAAGGCAGCCGGGGTAGATATGTTGGTATATGTTGGGAAAGAAAGAGCGAGGGTTAGGGAGAACGTACGCGTTCAATACCCCCACACAAAGCCAGCATCCTTGCTCGATCTGTTAGCGCGATCCGAAACTGGGCCTCCAACACTGTATCACTGACACCGCATATCGTCGCATCCTACTCTTGCGACACTCTCTTGAACGTAGCTTGAAAGGGAGCGGGTCGGTTCTGGTGACCATTACGGGCCGGGAGGATGCATGGAGGTAGACGATAGAATCATGTACGGCTCCGAGTCCGAGATCATGCTCGTCAAGACGAAAAGGCGGACTTTGCCGTCGGCACGGAGCGAACGCGCGCTCGCTTCACGCGCCCGTCGTCTCCTGCCCCCATGAGCCTTATCAAGTATGGTGTCACTACCATCTCCCCCTTATCCAAGGTGGTCACTCGTGTAACAAAAAACGACCACCCCGATAGAGCTGTAGACAGCCCCAGATGCTCACTATGAGATGCATCAGGAGCCGGGGCCGAACACATGGACACGCCCTGTCAGCCAGCACAGTATTCCAAGTACATGATCTCGATTGCTCACTATATATGCTGCACTCTACGAGGTTCTGCATCAAGCTCCCAATGCCTCCAGTCCCTCCCCCTCTCGTGTTCTCGTCACAGGCGCAAGCGGTTACCTGGACGCATGGTTCGTGCGCATGCTGCATACTGCTTGAACACGGGTATCACGTGCGCGGGACCGTCCGTAGTCCGCTGGGGACGTCGTCCAGGCATCGCTAGGAGACTTGAGCGATTGGTTCGAGTGCACCGTGATCGACGATGTCCTTGAGATGAATACGCAGACGATAACGGCGATTGATTGCTCTTTTACTCACACAAGGCTGATTAGGACGGTGCTTACGACGACGCAGTCAAAGATATGGACCTTGTCATGCACACGCTGTCACCAGTATTCCAGAGTAAGTTCCATAACCAATAGCTCGCACTCATCTGCTGACCGCTAAATACGCTCTTACAGCTACTCAACCCGACGGTATGCAACACCTCCAAGATCCCACATCAAGGCTACTGATCAATCCACACAGGAATCATACGTCCGGCAGTCACCGGAACCATCAACGTCCTCAAGTCCGCCCAAAAGTCTCAGCGCACAATCAAACGCGTCGGCGGTCGGCATGCAGTAACTTGTGCTCGAGGGTCTACGGGCTCGAGTCAAGGAGGATATGATGCGTTGGGATGTTTTGCACCTGCTGCACCTGCGCTTGGTGCAGCCAGCACGTCCTCTGCAGGATTAGCGCCTCCGGGGGGTGCGTCGGATGTGGTGTTTTTGATCTACATTGCGCCGTCGAGGCGGTTTCACGAGCGATGGCGGTATCGACTTCGCGCCTGGAGCGCTCGATATTACGAAGATCGGGTTACTTAGAGGCTGTCAGAGGAGGTGGCAAGTGAATGTGCCCGCCAGTGCACTGGATTGATACCAGGGTTAACCTCCTCCATGTGCACATTCATACGTAGCGCTTCTGAATATCATCCGTGGGAATTCCTTACATTCGCCAGGGATTGGGCGGACTCGCCGCTAGCTTCCAGGCATCCGCTTGTCCTCTCGGGTTGGGTGGCTTGTGGCGCATATCCCCACGCTCTGTTCAGATGTTCGCATCTCGAGGCTCGCTCTCTTTGATCATATGTCTACTATAGTGCTACCTAATTACGTTCTAGACAGTACTTAGTGCAACGCGGTCATATCGACAGTACTCGGTCTACCTTCCTGAGACCATCGAGGCCCCAGTTGACTATGCACGTCTACTCAAGTGCGCCGCTGAAGTTCAACTTCATATGAAGGCGACCTGTCCGACTGGAATGAACTATACTACAGAGTGCTTTGACTCATTTATTCACTAATGTAGCTTAGGCTCCGACAGCGAAGGTCCTGTTTGCGCGAAGCCAGTGAAGAAGAAGCCCTTCGAAGCGTCGCAAGAAAGCGAAGGAAGCAACCGCGGTAGCATCTACCGTGAGCTGACTCGCCGCCGCATAGACTCAACTCCGCATAGTGTTAGTCCTAGCATCGAGCTGTCTACATTTAAGTCCGTCGGAACGCCACCCGAGCTTTTGGTGTCGACAAATGGGGCTATGGCGCGATCAACGACAGCTCAATCAGGCCTACTCCCTGGCTCAGAGAGGACCAGTGTGGTATTCTCTAGCCCCTGTGTAGACGTCCGAGTGCAGGACGACGAAGATCACCCTTGACGCCAAGCGGCATATTGTTGCCGTATTAGGAGCCCGGCCTCAAGAGACACACGACCAGGTCGGCAAGACGAGCTGGGGTTACGGAAGCGGCTCGCCGCTCTCTTCGAGCGTATCCGACTCGAACACAAGAGCGAATGGAAGGGCGACGACCACAACGGGTCCTCGTGGCGCGTTCACCTCGTTTGGCTTCGGGTTTCTCTAACTATATGCGATGAGGGATATACCGAGGATGCATCTCCCGTGATTGCAGCAGAAAGAAGTAAACTGAAACACAAACTAGCTACTTGTAGCAAGAACGCGCATCGCTCACTGCTGCGGGCGAGCTACGACGTAGTTCCGCAGATCCCTTCGATTGGCAACCCACTCGGGGTCGCGCGCAATCATAGCCTGTCAACTATGAGCTTGGATCTCAGAATGCTAGGGGCGCCGTACCGTAACGAGCATCTCCTTCCGATCGTTGAACTCATGGGCCCCGATTATGTTGCCACCGCATGCCACGTAGTGATCCCAGGGCATAACCCAACTAACAGCGAGATGATCAGCTTTCCAACATCACTAAGAGCATCCAATAGTTGACGTACCAGGATTGCAGACGCTTACTGATCTTGAACTTATAGCCTTGAGACTCGAACGTGTTTTTTTCACCTTGCACAGGGGTTGGTACGCGCTTGCGAGGTGCAACTTGTTCCGCCAAAATTCGTCCTCTAACGAGCGTTTCCCGAGTTCGTCATTCAGAAAGCGTACCGTCCAGCCGCATGAATGACACACCTACTTCGCTCCCCGACGACCCGCCTGTGCAGTCTCTCGCGGATTCGAAGGCACTGATAGTGGCCGCGGAACATGTCATCCATGGCCTAGAACGACGACCAGTTCATGAACGGCTCAACGCAAGTCGATCGGACATACACACCTGCCTGTATACCATCTTCTGCGCCTCGTCGTCGGTGGAAAAGAGCGGGTGGTTGTCTATGAGATCGTTCTTGCGGGCCGCCACCCACTTGCTAACGCTGCGAAACCGAGTAAAATATGGGTCCACAGTAGAAAGGTAGCGTTCGAAGTCGCGGGAGAGGATGGATCCCACGAGATCGAACTGATCCACGCTTAGAATCTCGAATGGGTAAGGCATGTCGACGTGGAGGGAGAATGAGACTATCGTCTCTCGCATTTATAAAGACTAGGAATCACAACACGTGCAAATGTATGTCGCTACGTACTGGGAATTCATCAGCCCGGATTCTAGAAATCTTGGACTATGATGCCGGCGAAAGACGATTCGGGGGACCGAATTTTCACAGATCTGGATCGACGCATCGTCGGTCAGAGGAGAAGAGCTTGCATGCACCCTTACTCCTGATGGACACGCCTTGATGCCGGGGGTGATCTAGTAGGGTCAAAACATTTCGAGCACTTCACGATCTGCTTCCATTAGCAGTACTGGTAACGCGGCACGTCGTATTGGGATGGATGGAGCGCATCTCGTGCTGTACTGAACAGCCTTTCCATCGACCGGGATGCCCAGATGCTGCAGGGCGGAAAAGCTCGTCTTCGGAGAGGACGGCAGGAGGGCGCCAATCAGCACATTGTCGAGTGGGAAGCATAGGTCCCGAGTTACGAACAGCGCCCAGCGCCGGTGGGCGCTATGAAACGCGAGA